CAACCACTGAGCCATGCTGGCTGGGTTACATGCTGCATTTTTTCACCTAAGAATTTTCCTATGTCATTAAAACTCTTGATAAACTTTCTTTTAAATAACTGAATAATATCCTATTATAGATATGATAGATTGTTTTTTTAATTACTTTTCTATAGTTAGACATTTGAGTTGTTTCCATTTTTATTATCATTAATAACTCACCAAACATTCTTGAAAATAAAGCTATTTCTGTATTTAGTATATATTCTTATTTTCATAAATAGAAATTTGTTAGAAATTTATGGATTGAATTTATGAATTGTTTTCCATATCCTTTGTCCATTTCTCTTTGGGATAAATCTTAATATTTGAAAAAAAGTATTTGTATATTAAAGGTATCAGTATTTTGTCATATTTTCTCAATTGTTCATTTTTTAGTTTTCATGGTGATATTCTGACTTACCAATAGATTTTGCTTATTGGTGACCAAATCTACTAACATGTTCCTTTTGAATTTTTCCACTATTCACTCAGTAGTCATCTTTTTTCCCTAGTTTGTCTAGTCCAGTGGTTCTCAACCTTCTTAATGCCACGACCATTTAATACAGTTCCTCTTGTTGTGGTGACCCTTAACCATAGAATTATTTTCCTTGCTGCTTCATAACTGTAATTTTTCTATGTTATGAATTATAATGTAAATATCTGATATGCAAGATGTATTTAAGTGACCCTTGTGAAAAGGCCGTTCGACCCCCAAAGGGGTCGCGACCCACAGGTTGAGAACCACTGGTCTAGTCAGTATTTTTAAATATAGCTTTTGAACCTATCTGGAATTAATTTTAATGTATCTTTTGAGGTCTCTAAATTGAGGCTTTTTTAAAGAGGATAACCAGATATTTCAACATTCCTCTTTTACACATAAATTTGTGACAACCTTAATTCCATAATAGTTTCTTATGAAAAACTTGTTATCTATAATTGTACTGCCATGTTTTAACAGTAGGTTTAAATTTGTGATTTATTATTCTAGTGTTTATAACTTCAAAACCAACCTTAGAATAATTTGTAAGAAAAACTTACGTTGTCATATAGGTTGGAATTGCATTGCATTTCTAAATTTATTAATCCAGTTTGGCTCATGGATAGAGCATTGCACTGTGGACTGAAGAGTTTTGGGTTCAATTCTGGTCAAGGGCACATGCTCAGGTTGTGGGTTCGATCCCCAGTAGAGGGTGTGCAGGAGGAAGGCAATCAATGAGTCTCTCTCATCATTGATGTTCCTATCTCTCTCTCCCTCTCCCTTCCTCTCTGGAATCAATAAAAATATATTTAAATTAATTTAAGAAGAATTGATGTATGTACTACATTTTGTCTTTTCAGTCAAGAACTTGGCATACATCTATATTTATTCAAGTTTTATTTTAAACTTCTAAAAGTTTTGTGATTTTATTTATATATCCAGAACATTGCTCACTAAAGTTATTTCTAGGTTTTGTAGGGGGATTTTTTTGTTTGTTTATTTTTGATTATTGCTCTGAAGAAAATTTTGCTTTTCATTTTCTTTTATTCTTTTTAATATTATTTTTGTATGAATGTATCAGTTTAGATATATTTACATTATATTCAGCGAGTGAGCTCTGATGAGCTCTAATGCCTGTGTATTCATTATTTTGATTATTCTAGGTGTAAAATAAGATATTATTCTATCTCTTCTTTTCCAATGCTTATGTTTTGGTCTGTGGCTCAGGGAATTGACCTAACTTCCAGAGATATTCCACATACATTTATGTTTCATTCCTGATTTTATTGGGGAAGCCTCTACAATTTGGTATTTATAATATTTGCTAGGGGTTCCAGGGATTCTTGGCATATTAAAGGGGGGTCCTTGCATTCCTGCTTTTAAAGAAGTTTGTTTTGTTTTTAAATAAGAAATTGGTGTTAACAGACTCATAGATACAGAGAACAGACTGACAGCTGTCAGAGGGGAGACAAGTTGTGGAGTTAGGTGAGAAAGATGAAAGAATTAAGCAAAAAAACAAAACCCCAAAAACTCACAGACACTGATTACCAAAGAGAAAGGGGATGGGGGAAAGTAGACGAAGATAAAGGGTGGATAAGTGATGACAGAAGGAGACTTGACTTTGGGTAGTAAACACTCAATACAATATAGAGGTGATATATTATAGAATTGTACACTTGAAACCTATATAATTAACCAATGTCACCCCAACAAATATTTTTCATTTAAGAAAAAAGAGCAATTTGTGTTAGAATTTAGCAAATGCTTTAAATATGTATTGAAACATCATGTTGTTCATTTCTAATTTAATCTGTTATGTTTTGACAACTTTCCTAATAGTTACCTCTAAGTTCATAAATTCTCTTTGCTTAGTGTTAATTATTCTTTAAATATGCATTTGGATTTTATTTTTAGTTTAAGAACTCTACATCTTAATCCTAAGTGAAAGTGGTTTGACAGTTTTCTGGGTGTGGTTGTGTGTGCATTCTATTTTTTCAGGTTTTGGCATCCAGATTATAGTTTTCTAGAATGAGTCGAATATGTGTTACATGCAGTTGAGTCAGCTCTGACCCCTGGTGACCCTATGAATGAGTGATGGCCACACTGTCTTGACCTCAACAGCTCTGCTGAGCACCTATAGACTCATTTCTATGGCTTCTTTTATGGAGTCAGTCCATGTCATACTTGGTGTTCCGCTTTTCCTGCTGCCTTCTATTTTTTTAGTTAGTTGGTTAGCCACTATTTTTTTACTTGGGTAGTTTGCCACTATTTCCTATATTCAGAAACAGTTTACATAGGAAGGAACTAAATGTTTCTTCAATTACAAAAATTATTCATCTATAAAACATCTATGTTGTTTGGAGGTGAGAAATGGAATGGAAGTTGAGAGTATTGATAGCATTCTCTGTTCTTCAGTTATTGGTCCATTCAAATTTGTTCTTGTGTTTAAGTCAGCGTTGGTTATTTATAGTTTTCCAGAAAAGTATTCATTTCTTTGGGATTTAAAGTAACATACACTTGTTCATAATTATTCTCTTATATTTTTAGCTTCTTTGTTCCTTTGCTATAATGCCTTTTTTATTTTTTTGCATTTGATTTTTTCCTTATTCCAAGAATGAGCATTTGGATTCATTTACTAATGCTAATGCTTTCTGTTTTCTAGTTCAACCATTTTTGCTTTATTGTTTCCTCCTTTTTTGTTTTGCTTAGGGCTATTTATTATTCTTTTCCTTTTTCTAACTTCCTGATGTAAACACCTCAGTTTGAGGTTGTTTTGTTTGTTTCTTGCCTCTCTCCTTTTAAATTACAGAAGTATATAAAGCCATGAGTTTAATTCGAAATGCTGCTCTGTCAACATTATATAAAATTCTCAGTTTTCTTAGTTTGTTTCTTATATTTTTCCTTATCCAAAGAAGACCACGACTATTTAGGTAAATGTGTTTAAATTTCCAAGTAGTTAGTTTCTTGTTTATTTGTTTAAATGTATTTTTAGGAATTCTTTTCTTTTGGTGCTGAGGTCAAATGACATGCCAGTATTGTTTCATTTTAGAAATTTATTGAGCTTTTCGTATAACCTAATGTAAAAGCACTTAAAAATATCTGTGCCATACTTATAAAAATATCCTTTAAGTCATATGGATCATATGAAAATACCACCTAAATACTTTTTTATTATTTTATTCATTTTCTATTATTTTATTTATTTTTAAATCCATTTGATCTATCTTAAATTTATAGTTGTACATAAAATTTCTCCACCACCATTATTTTAATCTATTTCTATACATATATATCTAATTTCTACTTCATGTATTTTCACTCCATGCTTCTAGACTATATCTTTATAAAAATAAAATTATCTTCTTTACTACCATCATGAGTTTTTTTGTTACCTTGAAGTTTCCTTTGTCCAATATTAATAGTACTCTAGATACTTTTTAAAAAATATATATTTTATTGATTTTTTACAGAGAGGAAGGGAGAGGGATAGAGAGTTAGAAAAATCAATGAGAGAGAAACATCAATCAGCTGCCTCCTGCACACCCCCTACTGGGGATGTGCCTGCAACCAAGGTACATGCCCTTGACAGGAATCAAACCTGGGACCTTTCAGTCCGCAGGCTGTCGCTCTATCAACGGAGCCAAACCGATTAGGGCGCTTCATATAGTTTTGATCATCCATTATGTTTAATCTATCTTTATCTTTTATATTACAAGATATTATCCTTGAAAATGTAATACATTAATTTTGTTTTTAACTTAATATGGAAGTCTTTGCCTTTCTCTTTTTAGAAATGTTTTTATTGATTTTTAGGAAGAGAGCATGGGAGAGTGATAGAGAGATAGAAATATCAATGAGAGAGGAATATCATTGATCAGCTGCATTCTGCACACCCCACTCTGGGCATCCAGCCCACAACCCAGGCATGTGCCCTGACCAGGAATCAAAATGTGATCTCTTGGTTCCTGTGTTGATGCTCAACCACTGAGTCACATGGGCTGGTCTGGAATTCGTTGTCCTTCTAAAAGAAATTTTACCCATTCATATATTTTATTTGTTAAATATATTTTTATCAATTTCAGAGAGGAAGGGAAGGGGCAAAGAGATAGAAACATCAATGAGTGAGAGAACCATTGATCAGCTGCCTCTTGCACACGCACACTAGGAATCAAGCATGCTACCTGGACGTACGCCCTGATTGGGAACAAACCATGACCTCCTGGTTCATAGGTTGATGCTAAACCACTGAGCCATGCTGCCTGGGCTATATGATTATTATTTCTATACTAGGTATTCTTGTCATCTTATTTCATGTGTTTGTGTAAATACATTTATTGTTGTTAATGCTAATACCTAATAGTTTCTTATTCTCTGTTTGGCAATGGAATTATGTTTTGTTTTGTTTTCTATGTGAAGTCAACATCCTATATTTAATGTTATTAATTGTTTACTTTAAAAGTTCTTAAGAACGTTTTTAACTTATTTTCTTTTGAAAAACTAGGATACCAGTGAATGTACAGATCATGCATACATGGATCCTCAGCTAAGAATTGCTTCCTTCTCACAGAAGTGTCAGATTTTATCAGGTATGCGATAATGCAATTGTCCTCTAGTAGTACATGTTGATCCCAGACAACTGGCTAGGTGTTTTTATAGGAATTGTGCTTTAGGTCCCATGATATAATCCACAACCCTTACTGCTGTACCCCATTTCTGCTGTGCTATAGCTGATGCAGTTGGGACTGCTCTGCAAGTGGACAGAGGGAATATTGTGACAGAAGGAAAGACTTATGTTCTTTGGGCAAAGCTGATCTCCAGATGCAATGTCAGCTGGTTTTCCTTGTGTATAAGATGTCACTACATCAAGTGTTATAAATTGGGGAAGCTTTATCTCCAATTAAATCCCTCAGAATAAAATTCTTTCAATTTAATACTTTTTCCCCCTGCATATCATAATGGGGGAAAGCGAGATAGTGCAAGTTTATGGTCAAGCCAGTGTTTCTTATACCAAGAGTTGACTTTACTCATACTTGGAAGATATTTGCATACATTCCACAGTGAGAACCATCATTGAAGCTCCCTGCTCACCAGAATCAAAGGACTTAAAATATTCCCACTAGAGAATCATTCCGTTAAATTAAGGGTTTCTTCCTTACACTTTCTTTGAAAAATGCAAAAACTTAGGAACAGTGCAGCACATTGATATTGAAGGTGAACTAACTAACGCCTTCTGATGGAATGTTTCCCTAAATACCCTTGACTCTGAGGAGAGGAAAAGAGGGCAGGCAGTAAGGTGAAGGTCACACAGACAAACTCTGCTCACTCACTATGGCCTTAGGCTGCACATGGCCCCATATAAATGAGTGCTGGACAATGTGCAGGAGAGGTCCTAGGCTAGACAGCTCCTTCAGTACACACACTGACTTAAAACCTGCTTCTTCTTTCAGGGAAGGATTCCTTCAGAGGTTGCCTTGGCTGCCCCGACGAGATACTTGTCGACAGCTCTGATCTGAAGGAGACTCTGAATCATTCCATTACAAAGCTTAATGCAGAGAATAATGCAACTTTCTATTTCAAGATTGACATTGTGCACAGAGCAACATTCCAGGTATGTAAATTAAGCTACAAAAATAGTGATATTGTAGTCTATGTGGAAACTGCTTACTAATATTGCCACTGATCTTGGGTTGGGAAATAGTATACCTGGTAAAAGGAATTGAATGTCAAGTCTCAACCTCACTACGTTCTTGCTATGTGATCTTGGACAAGTCTTTAGAACATTCCATTTTCTGTCTGTAAAGGACTCGGGTGAGACTCAAATAAGATAATATATGTCAAGCCTTGGCGGAGTAGCTCAGTTGGTTAGAGAATTGTCCTATATGCCAAGGTTGCAGGTTCGATCCCCGGTCAGGGCACATACAAGAAGCTACCAGTGAATGCATAAATAAATGGAACAAAAATAGAGAGATAATATATGTCAGTACATTATCTTCTCAAACTTTATAGTGTTATATAAATTCTAGCAAATTTATATAATAAATAAAATGTAGGGCAAGGAAAAGCTACTCTTATTCTCTGCCTTTCTAGAGTGGTTTCTTGTTGGAGCATCACTTAGTGCCTTGGGATCAGCCACATGTCAGTCTATCATCACCCAGACTCTCTTCACACTCTCACCTCCATGTCACTTCCCCCCTGCCTAGGGTCCTTCCAGCCCACAAATGTACATCTAGGGCTTTATCTTTCCTTCCATGCCCTGTCAATAGATAAGGAGCATCCTACTGTGGGGGTCAGGAGACCCAGTTCTACCAGAGCACCAGCCCTCATGTCCTGGTAACACCGGGCTGTCATTCAGACTCACTCAGTCTTGTGCCCCATCTGTAAAATGAGTGGCTGGGTGAGAAGATCCCAAATTTCTTCCAGCTCTAACAGCATCTGAGTAATCTATTCATGGGCAGATTCTTATTATAAACCTCAAAACTGGCCTCCCTAAATGTGAATAAAATAGAACCAACAAAAGTAATCAAAATAGAACCTAACTGTTTCAACAAACCAACATAATCTGATGGGGGGAGCAGGGTGTGAGAGACTTCATTTATAACAATTCATACTTTTGGCTCAGTAATTGAATTTCTAGAAATTTAAAAGAGTCTTTATAGACAATGATATTCATTGCAGTTTGAACTATAAAAGAACACATGGTAAACTGTCAAAACAATCAGTATTATAGAAATGATCAAGTAATGTCTGGCATAGCCTTAAAATAGAGTATCAAGGAACAATTTTAAAGTATTTTTGTGAGGAGTTCTTGATGTGGGAAATGCCTTGTTTTAAAATATGCAGTGGAAAAAAAGAGGCATAAAATTGACTATACATTCTGTTTTCAGGTGTGTTATAAAAAGTACAGAAAACAATTAGAAAGGAAAGAACTGCCTCCAACTATTCACAGTGGTGGCCTTAGGTGATGGCACAATGGGCTGTTTATTGTCATCTTCTAATTTCCTGTATTAGTTTCACTACTGCAGGGGAAACCTAATCAAATGGTACCAAAATAAGTCAAAACTGACACTTTGCTCTCTCTCCTACTCAGGCACTTATTCCTGCCCCTGACACCACAACCTTTCTCCCTCATTTCACGGACACATTTCCCATGTTAGTGGTGTACTCACATGGTACACCAATCATTGTATGCTTTTTTTTAATTTAAATTCTTTATTGTCTAATGTAGTACATATGTCTCCTTTCCCCCCCATTAACTTCTCTCAGGCCACTCCCACCCCCAGCACATGCCCTCACCCACTAGTGTCTGTGTTCATGGGTTATGCTTATATGCAGGTATACAAGTTTTTTGGTTGCTCTCTTACCCACACACATCCCCCAATGTTATTGAGTTTGTCAGCTTTTCTTCTCACTTCATATTTCTGCTTTCTTGTGAAACTCCCTTATTCTTGATGCAGGAATACCCTCTGCTCCACCATATATTGCATAGCAGAGGTTTGCTGTCAGGAGAGAACCACTCATTTTATACATGACTATCTAGTCTCCATATACTTACAGTTCTCTGTAAATTAATGAATCAGCATACAAGCATGATGTATATTTGTTTATGCTAAGGATGCCAGGGGAACAACAAGAGGTAATGCTGTTAATTGAAGGGTACTGACATTCCTTCTCTTGCCAAGTCAATTTGAAATATGGTGAGAATCTCAAACTTACATACAAAAGATGAATCTTTACTGGTTTTTACATTTAAAGAGAACAATTTGGCATTTATGACATGATTATTTAAGGAAGCCCTGCTGGAAGCAGCCGAGTTACTCGAAATGCATTTACCATGTGATGAATTTGCCATATGACCAATTTTTGCCAAAGATTTATTTTACAGATTTGGTCTTGCCTTGGATTTCATATTCAGTCCTATTTGGATGCATGTCTATTTCAAGCTGGTTTCAGATGCCAAATGTTTCTTAAATTCTCCGTTTGCACGTGTGAATGATGTGATTTCTGTCACAGGCCGTTTATTTTTCCCTGCCTCTGCCGCCACTGTCCCCCCTGTTGTGTATATTCCTCCCTGTCTTTGCTCAGATGAATATACCTCAAGGATCTGTGTGTGCACATTCAGGAATTTTTCTTTTAACAAAGTATTAGAAATGTCAAGGCGTATGTATAGTATGTCTAACACTTCTGGTGCAAATTGCCAAATTGCCAAACTATTTGCAATTATGCCAATTTACATTCATACCACCTGGCTATAGGACCTTGATCATCTGCTTTGAGTTCTATTCCTACCAACAGTGACTGAGGCTGCACGCTTCCCACACCTGGCCAATACCAGGTATCACCACTGTTTTTTATTTTTGCCAACATATGGAAGATTAAAAATTCTGTTGGATTGCTGTTGTTTTTTTAATCTTTGTTTATTAATGAATATAGTCATATGTTTCTGGCTTAATGACCATTTTAACTTCTTTTCTGAAATATTTGTTCTTGTCTTTTGTTCATTTTTTTCATGTTTGGCTTTACATGTATAAGAATATTAATCTTATACCATATTTTCCCCAGGTTTTATTTTTTTACTTTGCTTGCTGTGATTTTTGAGAATCAGTTGTCCTTTCTGTATGAACAAATTTAGACATGTTTTCTCCCTCTGCTTGTCACCTAAGAATAGCCTTCTTCATCTTGAGACCTGATAGGTACATATTTATATCTTTTGAGCTTAATTCTTTAATTTAAATTGTTAATACATTTGGAATTTATTTTGCTCTGTGGTTATCTCTACTTTAATAACAAAGGTTGAGCAGGATTGGTTTGAGCAGGGAAGACTTTTGATAAGAATGACACCAGTTGATAACGGCAATATAGATGTCATCCTGAGGCCCTCAAATGGAAGATTTACATCTATTTACTTCCTTCTTCTTGACTCTGAATAGAGTTGAGCCATCAGTTGTGGTTTGTGTCACATATTGTCCAGTTTCTTGGGCAACATTACTTTTATCAACATTATTGTTATGGAAAATTGGATTAAGATATATTCTAAAATGAGCAAGAAAATTTATGATCACCAAAATATAGACCCTATAACCCTCTTAGAACCTTCCTCCCCATTTACACCTACACCTGGAGTCTTAAAAGTTAAGTATTAAATTATTCTTAAAAATGTAACCATGTTTACCCAGCAAATCAATGCCAGAAAAAGTAGAGGGGGAGCTTAGCTCTTCCTATGACTCTGTTCTCCTGCTCTCTTCCTCCGCCACACGTTTTCCATGCTTTTAAAAAACACAGAGAAAGGGAAGACAGTTGTGTTTTGCTTTTTCAAACGACATTCTACTATCACCCTGTGACTTCATTATTTTATTTATTAATACGCTTTTATTGATTTTAGAGAGAGAAAAGGAGAGAAGGAAAGAGAACCATCAATCTGCTGTCTCCGTCATGCCCCGCCCCTCCCCACCTGGAATTAAACCCACAACTTGGGCATGTGCCCTGACTGAGAATCAAACTCAGGACCCTTTGGTGCATGGGATGATACTTAATGAACTGAGCCACACCAACCAGGACTGTAACTTCATTTATAAAAATAATAGTCATCTCTCCAGGTCAACAGATATATTCCTGTATTCTTTTACACACACACACACACACACACACGCACACACACACACGTACACACATATTTAGATCCTAGAATAACTTGGACTAGAAGTTCGCCATATCAACTAACTTTTTAAGACACAATTTAAAGTCATTTTTAACAAGTATATTTTTTAAGTGTAAGATATGTAAGATATGGCATTTTGAAATTACTTTCAAAAAGCTATATGTTCGATTTTATTGAAGTCAGTGTATTTTTAAAAAGCATGAGTTTAATTTTTTAAATAAATAAAGTGTGCCTCTTTTATATAAAAAATAAATTAATTGGGCCAAAAAATATCCATTGTGGGCACAGCATTGTATAAAGATTAAAACTGTTGCTACAGTACTGGCCGGTGTGGCTTAGTTGGTTGAACAATGCCCAGAGCAACAAAAGTTTGTGGATTCAATTCCCAGTAAGGTCTCATGCCCAGGTTGTGAGCTTGATCCCCAGTAAGGGGCATGCAAGAGGCAGCTGATCAATGTTTCTCTTTTTCCCTTTTCCTTCCTCTCCCTCTAAAAATCAATTTTAAAAAACTATTGATAAGAGATTAAAATGGTTTCTTAATATAAAATAATTAAGAGAGGCAAACTAAAAAATCCAAAGAATTTTCCTAATCACATAATTTAACCCACAATTTCTATAGTGACACTAACTCGGTATTTCTCTGATTCAGGACTTTGCATGACAATAAGGCATACTTAAAGAAAATGTTCAAGTTTTTCTTCCTACTCTTATTAGATTCTATTACAACTTGAGTGCTTGAATGTTGTTGAAGAATAAAACTTAGAAAAGTATAAAAATTGTAGCCTTGTTTCCTAACAGCCAAATATTTTACACATGCATACAAACTAAAAGTTTAGTTGTCAAACATTTGTACTTTATTTGTATACCTTTCATTTGAGCATTGTATAATTAAAATTTTAATATTCTCCCCTAAGATTCCTTAGGGTAGAAACATATCATTTATTATATATTATTAAAGGCCCCAGTGCATGAAATTCATTTCTATAGTGACACTAACTCGGTATTTCTCTGATTCAGGACTTTGCATGACAATAAGGCATACTTAAAGAAAATGTTCAAGTTTTTCTTCCTACTCTTCTTAGATTCTATTACAACTTGAGTGCTTGAATGTTGTTGAAGAATAAAACTTAGAAAAGTATAAAAATTGTAGCCTTGTTTCCTAACAGCCAAATATTTTACACATGCATACAAACTAAAAGTTTAGTTGTCAAACATTTGTACTTTATTTGTATACCTTTCATTTGAGCAGTGTATAATTAAAATTTTAATTGTGTGAGGGCATGGTTTTCAATTTGCATATTACCTCTTTATTATATAGGATTAATTAAGGTTCTACTTTGTGCTAATTAATTTTCCAGTGGGTGAGTGGATACAAATATCTTATTGAGTTCACGGCAAGGGAAACCACATGTTCCAAGGAAAGTAATAAAGAGCTGACTGAAAGTTGTGAGATCAATAAACATGGGGTGAGTAGTCATGCAACTCTCTACTTATTCCCTGGATATCTACTTGATATTTTATACTTGTTTAAGTATTTCATGAATAACACTGTTCTCTATTTTGGCTTTTGTTTTCACGGATAGGAAATGCTAAGATGCACTGCTGAGGATTACTATCGGGTAGGTAAGAAGAATAGAATCGAGACTACTGTCAAATGTCAGTCACCAGGAAAGGTATGTTTCTAATTAGTCAGCTTGGGTAAATTTTGCTCTGAAAAGACCTATTTGGGGGTTGAAAATGAACCACTATTTAAATGAACTGGGGGACTATCTTTTTAGAATTGAGAGAACTCTCACATTTCTGCGCTGACCTCTCCTTTTTATGTCTAGAAAGGAAAACAACAGTCAGTCCCCTAATCACTTCTCACCCTTTGTCAGTGTCCCATCCTTCAGGAGGCTCTCTCTTAATGAAGGGCAGCCCCTGCTGTGCAGAGCCAATACTGGCTCTGGGGCTTTAAGATGTGCCTGAGATGCTTCACTGGCATCTGCCTCCATCCAAGGGACTTGGGAGAAATACAGATCTCAGCCCCCACTCCACATCGACTGAATCCAAATCTGCATTTTAACATGGTCCTCAGAGTTTCATACCCACATTCAAGTGTGAGAAGCATTAGCTTGTATCATCTTTTCCAATTCTTAAGAGAACCTTGTAAGACTTTTACCATTATCAAGGATGAGACACTAAAAATTACAAAGATGCTGAGATCCTGGAATGGATAATAACATGATCAAGTGCTTGCTCTGTCCCAGGCACTGAACTGAGGGCTTCACACATATTTTTCTGTTAACAACTCTCTGAGGCAGGTGCTGCTGTTATTCCTATTTTAGAGATGAGAAAAGTGAAGCTAGTGGTGCATGGATGCAAGTGTAGGTCAAATCAAAGTCATCGTGTTCACATGATGCTAACAACTAGGCTCTGGCTTATTTGACTCCAAAGACCATGCTCTTTGCACCACTGACACTGCCTCCAGCATCCTGTTCTCACCAGTAGTGAAATGTAGGTGGGAATCATCAAGATCTTCAATGCGAGTAGCCTCTTATCTTTTTTTTCTGATTTAGATTTTTGCCTTGTATAGGTATATATGTAGTCTCACACAGACATTATACGAAGGCTGGTTTTCAAGCTTGTGAATATGTCCTAATGTGTTTCAGCCCAACAAAGTAATTGTGGGCACATGCTGCATATATATTCAGTCCATAAAGCCATTTTGGGTCTTTTGGTATAAACACTGTAATTGTGCTAATAGAATTAGTATCAATTAATAAATAACGTGCCATGGTGTTATATAGTTCAACCACCCAATTTTTCAAGATGAAGAAAAACCTCTACAGTTTAGAGGAGAATTTTTAAGAAATATCCACAAATTAAAAAATCAATCAAAAGAAGAAAAGATATTCATTCTCATCCTTTCTGCATTATTAACATAGCACTTAAAACCTGGCTAAAGACTTGCTCCATTGTAAACCAAGATAGCGTTGCCAGGTCTCAGTCCCTTCTTTCTTCATTGAGAGTGAGGTTTCTACAGTAATCCATTCATTTTAATATTTCCTGGTTAGACCATATTGCTGAAAAGACCTCCAAGTCTTTCACCTTTCTGATCAGTACAAGTGGCGGAAACAAAATAAGAAACAACTGTAAGTCCACCCCACACTTCCATGGCACCTGCTCAAGACGAAGATAAAGATTCAGAAAAAGAACAAGGACCCACTCGTGATCATGGCTGGGGCTATGAAAAGCAAATAAAACATGGCCGTGGCAATGGACATAAAAGGGAACATGGCCTAACCCATAGACATAAACATGAGCATGGTCATGGCCATGAAAAACAAAAATAAAGGAAAACAGAATGGAAAGCACAATGGTTGGAGAAGAAGTTCTTTTGAAGATAAAACTACATCTTCAGAGACACCAGAGAAGACAGAAGGACCAAAATCCTCCCTCCCTAGCCATGTCAGGTGTGGCAGTTGCCTTTCCTGAATTTCGGGACTTAGATCTCATTGCAGCTATGATGACTAATATACCGCCAACTCCCACAGAGAATGATGATTCTTGGATCCCTGAAATCCAGATAGAGCCCAATAGCCTTTCATTTAACCTGATAACTGATTTCCCAGGAACAACTTCCTGCAAGTGTCCTGGACGCCCCTGGTAGCCAGTTAATGGAATGAATCCAATTGTGGAAACAAAATAATTTCATGATTTTGATCTCTCTGATGCTTTTTATTAATGTATGCAGCCATGGGTGTTTCTTTAACACTTCATCATCCCCTTTCACCACTGTCCAAATACCCTGATATAAGGCACCAAAGATCATGAAGCTTCAAAACAGCCTAGAGAGAAGTGGTGAGACTCCCAGTGGGGACACCATCAATTTCTATGGACAACACAAAACTGTGTGCCGATTTCTAAATCCTTTCTGAATCTTCCTAATGAGTTTTATTTTCTTTCTTTTTGTTGTTGTTGTTTTTTTTGGTTTGTTTGTTTTTTTGGTGCATCGCCCGGGAACTTCACGAGTTTTCTTAACTAGCACAGAAAATGGACAAACAAATGTGCCTTGTGGCCTACTGCAATTTGCTTTTCTAATAACAAATATGTACCTTAGAATGGATGTCATAGTCTGTCATACAAAGATTCTTGCCATTCTGAATAAACGGTGGCATCTGGTCCATGAACACATGTGAAAATAAGGAAAGTCAAGAGACTGAATGTGAACTTCTTAATAGGGCAAAAATAATAATAAAAGCTACCAGAGGTCAAAGAGGGACAACAAGAAAGACAGACTGGCCAAAGGGAGGACAGGCGGAAATAAACTAATTGACTTTCTGTTTCCAAACGGGCTAGTCATATCAAATAGTTACTCCCACTTCACAAAGCTATTCTGATAATTCTCTTTCTGAATCAGAGTGTTTCTCAGAAGTCAGCAAATTCTATTTACTCATTAACTACGCTTTGCAACAAGGCTTTGAAATAGGAGTCTTCTGTTTGTGTATTTGTTGCTGAGGCTAGAATGAGCAATCCTTACTTTTCAGCAGCTCTGAGTTTAATGATAACAATGGAAAGCAGGAGTAGTGATATAAAAGGAAATCTTTTTTATAATTGACAAGTAATATCATAAGATGTGATGGAAAATTTATTCAGAAATTTTATGAGGAAATGCCTCTCTAGCCACACCTTATCATCGAATCATTTTTTGCTAGGGCATTGAAGAGCGCTGACTTTTACAAAAAAAGAACAATATGATGGTCTTAAATTGCTTTTAATATGAGGAAAGCATGCATTTCATAATTACTGCTGTGTTCTGGCTAGTGAAACAGGACAGGGCTTTAAACAGCTACAGTTGCTTGTGGAGGCATGTGCCACTGCGACTTCAAGTTATCGGATGGATTTGAGCCTCTGAGTTTTTATTCCATTTCAAATATTATCTGTACTTTTCAATAAAGAACCAATGATGTCAGGAAAAAGTCTCATCTTGCCAACTGGTTGCTTCACTCTTCTCTTGTTGAATGATAACACCATTTTAACAGAATTTTACTATACTTACAGAAGCAACTAAAGCCCTGCGTGTACAAGGGCCGACCTCAGGAGGCAGGGGCAGAGCCAACATCTAAGAGTGAGGCCTCTTGACCAGTGGGCAGAATCTCCACGTCTCGCACAATAGCCCCAGCAACCTGTCAGCAACCCTGAATGGAAGGACAAGAAGATGGGATAGAATGTCAGTAGAGAAGAATGCCATTTTATCATTCTGTTTCTGTCTGAAATAAAGTTTGATCTTAATGTTCACACTCCTGGTTCATTCACAGTAGTCTGCTTTCAGCCACACCCATCCTGCAGCAAAGTCCAGTTGATCAGAGAGATCGCTCTACCATGGAGACTCATAGTGCAACTCTGGAACAGGCAGGGATCCCTTAAGTGGGCCTTCCCTACCACCAGGACCTCAACATGGCTCTAAATCAAGGGTTTGTGGGTAATGTTTCCATCAGCAATCTAAGGAATCTCTCTACCTTCCCTTTTTCCTCTCTCTCCTCTCCCCCCTCCTGATTTTCAGCCCAAAGTTAAGAGTATTTTCTCTTGTTTTGTTATTTTTTTTAAAAGATCTAGATAACTACCAAAAAAGAAAATGAAACAATTCTTTGTTAATAGGATGCCTACCAACTTTTCACTAGCAAAAAACATCAAACATCAAAAAAGTTTAAAGAAAATTTAAAATTATCTTTTTGCTTCAAATAATTTTTAAAAAGTTGAAATCTAATAGAATAAAAATGATAAGAGATTTTTAATTTTCTGAAATAGGTATTTACTGAGGGCTTATTGGAGCCATTTACCATGTTGGACAGTTTCTGTTTGGAGTGTTACTTAGTCCTCACAACAACTCTGAGGTCCCCATGACCACCTTTCATTTACAATGAGGAAACTAGCTCCCAGTGCCCTGCGCAGGGTCACATAATTACTACACGACAGAGCTGGCATTCATACTCAGACCTTTTGAACTTCATTACACCGAGTTACCATGAGGTATTATTATCAATGTCGGCATTACAAAAACACATTTCTGAATCTGAGATGATCATTATCTCAATACAAAAACCCTTATTAAATATCTTATTATGTCTGATGCTGTTCTGAGTACTGTTCAGGGCAAACTATGACAGAGTCAAGCACTGGCATTGGCTATTAGGCAGCCTGAATCCAAAAGCTAGAAATTTACTTAAGTTATCAACATCCCTGTGTCCTCATCTGAAATATCCTATTTAATAAAGGAGTAATATGCAAATTGCCCATCACTCCAACACACAAGATGGCTGCCCCCATATGGCCAAAGATGGCTGCCACAAGATGGCCAGTAGGGGAGGGGAGTTGGAGGCAACCAGGCTGGCAGGGGAGGGCAGTTAGGGGCGAGCAAACATGCAGGGGAGGGCAGTTATGGGTAGCCAGGCCTACAGGGAAGGGCAGTTGGGGGCACTCGGGCCAGCAGGGGAGCAGTTAGGCATTGATCAGGCTGGCAGGGGAGTGGTTAGGGGGTGATCAGGCTAACAGGCAGAAGCAGTTAGGGGCAATCAGGCAGACAGGCAGGCGAGCAGTTGGGAGCCAGCAGTCCAGGATTGTGAGAGGAATGTCCTAGATTGGAGAGGTTGCAGGCTTGGCTGAGGGACACAACTCCCCCATCCACACCCCCCACCCCCATCCCACCCGCATGAATTTTGCACACCAGTCCTCTAGTTAGGTAAATAATATGCTCACATTTTATGTGTCTGGTGAGAATTAAAAGAGTCAATTCCTTTAGCTGATAATGCTTAGCACATGGCAACCATTTAGTAAAGGGTAGCTATTATTGCATTACTGGAACACAACTGTGTTACTTTTTGAATTTAAATCTGGGGGAAAATATTTTGTCAGACAATTAGATGTGTTTAACAGAGCATACATCCCTTTTGCCTTTGTAGCCATACACATCTTTCTAAGGTTGTAATCAGCTCATATCAAGTGGCCGGTAACAGCAACTCCATCATTTTCAATTCCACAGTTCCCAACCTGGCTGCACATTAGAATAACTGAGGGAGCTCTAGACCATGGGAAGCCAAATCTCTGTGAGTTGTTCTGAGTATCAGTATTTTTCAAAAGTTCTCCATTGATGCTAATGCATCTAAAGTTGAGAACAATTGATTTAGGCCTACTGTGTTTCCATTTAATCCAGGTTTACAATGTTCCTCTTTATTGACTTTCAAATCTTTTTTTAAATAGGAAGGTTATAAGATTCACAAGGCATGAATGGATGGATGGATGGATGGACAGATGGACAGACAGTTAACTAAGCATTATATTCACTAGGTTTGTTGCAACAAAAATGAAGAGTACAAGATGGGTATGAATGGCCCTAACCGGTTTGGCTCAGTGGATAGAGCATCGGCCTTCGGACTCAAGGGTCCCGGGTTCGATTCCGGTCAAGAGCATGTACCTTGGTTGCGGGCACATCCCCAGTGGGGAGTGTGCAAGAGGCAGCTGATCGATGTTTCTCTCTCATCGATGTTTCTAACTCTCTATCCCTCTCCCTTCCTCTCTGTAAAAAATCAATAAAATATATTTTTTAAAAAAAGATGGGTATAAATGGCCTTTCAAAGACTTATAAACAAATATTTACTAAATCTGACAAGTGAAGGACAGGAATAAGTCAAAGATGACAAAAGTTTTCCAATCTAGTTGCCTAAGGGAATAGTAATGCCATTAATACAAACAAGAAAACTGGAAGCTGATCTGTGCTTCCTAGTAACTCTAAAAACCAGACTGACCCCAAATGCACATAATTTAAGGGATTTCAACAACTGACTGAGCATATGAAATCATTATGGATGTAAAACACTACTAGGACCCACCTCAAATTATTTCATTTACTGCAATATCTGTGGCACCTGCCATATTAACAGGGAAGTACCATTAGATACTCCTGGATTAAGCTTGTGAAAAACAAGTGAGAAAACTACAATTGCAGGACTCCTCCTATCAAAAAGAACAGAGAGGGGAGAAATTATTTTCTGAAAGTAATCTTAACTTCTATTTGACTGATGAATTAGAAGCCTGAGACTAGCAAAAGATCTTTATTCTGGCAGCTTTTCTGTCTCCTATCTTCTCTATATGGAATTTCTGAGTGTGAGGAAATACCACTATTATTAAAACCGGATAAAATAGTAGCTCTTGGAAAAATGAAAGTACCAGCTTTTTTACATAAGTAATATTAACCACCTGGGAGCTTTTGTCAAATTAGCTATACAGGAATTGTCTCCAAGAAGCCCCTTTTCTGTGTGGTTCTGGGTTAGCTTTGTTCAAAGGAGACATTTGTGTGTGAACAAGAAGATGGAATGAAGCAGAGCTATGACTCGCGGAAAGTCACACAGTGAGATGCAGTGAGTGAGGACTCAGAGGCAAGAGCTCAGGCCTGGCCTCATCCTTCCTTCTTTGGAAAGTAGCTCTCTCCCCCACAGCTGGCCATGTTGACCTACAGCCACAGGAGGTGCTCTAGGGCAACAGCCTTCTGTGGGTTTCTTCACTAACTCCCTTATAGTTCCTCTGGCAGCTGGATGTGCCTGTCCAGATTTCAAAATCCATTCATGGGAGGGGAGTCCCTCAGCCCGGCCTGCACCCTCTCCAATCCTGGTCCCCTCAAGGGATGTCTGACTGCCAGATATCCCTTTAGCAATCCAGTACCGCTGGCTCCTAACTGCTCACCTGCCCACCTGCCTGATTGCCCCTAACCACTCTGCCTGCCTGCCTGATTGCCCCTAACTACCCTTACCTGCAGGCCTGATCATGCCTAACTGCTCACCTGCCGGTCTGATCACCCCTAACGACATCTGCCTCGTCCCCACCACTGTGGCTTTGTCTGCAAGGAAGACTGCACAACTGGAAGATGTCTGGTTGATCCAGTCTAATTAGCATATTACCCATTTATTAGTATAGGTCAGAGGCCCGATGCATGAAAATTTGTGCAAGAATAGGTCTTACTTCCCCCAGCTGCTGGCACCAGCTTCCCTCCTGCATCCAGGCCCAGGCTGGCTTCCCTCAGGCCCTGGCTTCATCAGGAAGAACGTCCAGAAGGATTTCTGGTCTAATTTGCATATTACCCTATTATTATTATTATTATTTTTTTTGCCTTTCAATAATAACTTTATTTTTTTCTTTAATTAAATCTTTATTGTTCAGATTATTACAGTTGTTCCTCTTTTCCCCCCCATAGCTCCCTTCCACCTGGTTCCCACCCAACCCTCTGCCCTCCAAACCCACCCCTGACTGTCCTCATCCATAGGTGCACGATTTTTGTCCAGTCTCTTTCTGCATCCCCAAACTCCTTCCGCCCTGCAAGAATAGTCAGTCCACTCCCTTTCTATGCCCCTGATTCTATGATAATCACCAGTTTATTCTGTTCATCAGATGATTTATTCACTTGATTTTTAGACTCACTTGTTGATAGATGTGTATTTGTTGTTCATAATTTGTATCTTTACCTTTTTCTTCTTCTTCGTCTTCTTAAAGGTTACCTTTCAGCATTTCATATAATACTGGTTTGGTCGTGATGAACTCCTTTGGTTTTTCCTTATCTGTGAAGCTCTTTATCTGACCTTCAATTCTGAATGATAGCTTTGCTGGATAAAGTAATCTTTATTGTACGTTCTTGGTATTCATCACTTTGAATATTTCTTGCCACTCCCTTCTGGCTTGCAAAGTTTCTGTTGAGAAATCAGCTAACAGTCGTATGGGTACTCCTTTGTAGGTAACTGAGTTTCTTTCTCTTGCTGCTTTTAAGATTCTCTCTTTGTCTTTTGCTCTTGGCATTTTAATTATGTGTGTCTTGGTGTGGTCCTCTTTGGACTCCTTTTTTTGGAGTTCTCTGCACTTCCTGGACTTGTAAGTCTATTTCTTTCACCAGGTAGGGGAAGTTTTCTGTCATTATTTCTTCAAATAGGTTTTTAATATCTTGCTCTCTCTCTTCTTCTGGCACCTCTATAATTTGGATGTTGGTACGCTTGAAGCTTTTCCAGAGGCTCCTTACACTATCTTCGTATTTTTGGATTCTTTTTTCATCTTGCTTTTCCAGTTGTGTGTTTTTTGCTTCTTCATATTTCCAATCTTTGACTTGATTCTTGCACTCCTCTGGTCTGCTGTTGGAACTCTGCATAATATCCTTTATTTCAGTCAGTGTCTGCTTAATTTCTATTTGGTCCTTTTTCATAACCTCGAGGGTCTCACTAGATTTCTTGAGGATCTCACCAGACTTATTGAGGTTCTTACTA